CACCATCTGGGTAAATGGTTATATGGGTTATAAAATGGGAAAAGGAAAAAATTGGTACCTCCTAGGGGACATCCTAAATATGACTTAAGTTGGCAAACGTCGTTTACAGGGGATTACATTAATGGTAAGAGAATGGTTGGAATTAATGGAAAAAGATACTATAGGAAGAATTAAGTTTATGAGAAAGAATGCGTAGAAACCCTGTTACTCATTGGTGTCCTAAGTTAAATAAAAACATCTTAGTAAGATAATGGGACAAAAACATCTGATGCACAACTTTCCCTCCTAAAGATAAAGATTATAGATGGAATTTCTTGCTGGTAGTAATAAGTTTAAGGTTAATACGAGGGCAAGACGAAAAGAAACACAATGGTGAGAAACGTCAAGAACAGCAAGTCACGGACTAATTGACCACAACAGATATAATCACTGGAAAGAATTGGCTGACCGCTGAGTTTTATTTAACCTTGTGGATTATTAATTTTATGAGAATTGATGTAATTTTAAGAAAAAATTTCCATTTAACTACTGGTTTAATAATTTTAAAGGTTTATGTAGTTAAAATGCCCACATTAACTCCCCCATGTTGTGTAACAAATAAAAATGCTGTTTTCAGCCTGAAGGCTGCTTCAGCTGCTTTAGCTGCTCTGGCTGCGACAGCACTGACAGCCCGCAGAGCAAGAACGTGCTTCAAAGGAACCGACGTCTCTGCCTGTGTTTGTTATTTTTGCCAACTCTTCATCCCTTTTTCAAGGACCCCAACTCGACTGGAGCTGGTCTCCGGCATCTAGAGACATTTTTGGTTATTACAACTAGGGCATGGTGGGTGCTACTGGCATCTCATGGACGGGAACCAGAGATGCTGCTAAACACCCTACAATGCACAGCCCCCACAACACAGAGTTATCCCATCCTAAATACCAATTCATGTGCCAAGCATGAGCCAGCCTGGGAAGTCCACTCATGTATTCAAGGACTTAGACACACAGACACACACACATGCATACTCACACCCTACCCATTCCCTCCTAGTATCTTCCTTGTCTTTGTTCATTTTTAATGAATTACATTTACAGCATAAAAATACGCTTCTAGAATTTGCTTCTTGTTCAATATGCTTTAAAGCAATGAGCCATGCAATATATTTGCCTGGGATTTAATTCTGTGCCTGGAATTCTGCATGACAGGGCAGAGGCACATAGAGGCAGGAAGAGGGGTATCAGGACACAGCTACACCACAGACAACAGCCAGTGCCCTCTCCTTCCCAGAGATGCCCCTCTGACCATTCTGACCTCAACACACCGATGTAATCAGCCAAGCATGTTCACACATAAGACAGGCTTTCTGGAGGTTGGAGAGGGACCAGGGGTAAGCAGGGGGAATGCATGGTGTTTGAAAAAATATGTTTAATTGGGGTCCCAAGGCATGAAGCTGGGGGAAGCCAAACCCAGCTGCAGCCAGATAAAGAGCACACCAAAAACACCGTTTCCACATGGGTAGCCCACCATAGCCACCGCAATTGCTGTGGCTGCTGCAAAGGTGGTTGGTCTCTATAACAGCAGTCAAGTCACTGTGTAGATGGCATGGCAGACTCTCAACTGCATTGACAGAAGAAGAGGCACCAGCAGACGTCAAAAAAAAAAAAAAAAAAGAGAAGAGATCCTCATCCTCTCTCTCCACGAAGCAGACTCCAGAGTAATAGAAGAAGCATCTGATTTACGAAAATAGCAGAGGACTTGATCACACCTATCTCAGCACTGGACAGATCATCTAGGCAACAAACCAACAGAGGAACAGTTAATCTATCAGATGGAGAGAACAAATCTATGGTTATTGGGGGTGGGGAACGGGGTATGGGGAGGGGGATTAGATAAGGAGCATAAAGAATAAGTATGATTTCTAACAATGAATATGCTAATAAAAAGTTAAAAAGGGAAAAATATGTTTAATATTGTACAGTTGTATTTTGAGAAATGAATACCTGTAATCGTCCTTTGAAAAGTTTATGGAAAAATGTGTATTATCTTTTAATTCTATTTTTCCATAAACTTTTGGAAGCACTCTTTTATTGGCATTTTCCATGATGCTTTCTCTCTTACTCCCTTTGAAAACACTATCATATCTTATCTTATGTACAGTATATCAATTATGCCTCAATAAAGCTGTCTAAAAAAAAGATCATATCTTAATTGAGTCTATAACAACTTCCTGCACAACCCTGCACCTTCTCTCATTCCATTTTCCATTTGCTGGAGAAGATCTGAGGACATAGGTGATCTGAGGACATAGGTGATAGAGCTCCAAGATGAAGGTGTCCTGGATCCTGAGGCTTTGTTTTAGCTTGTTTGTGTAGCTACAACAGAATATCTGAGACTGGGTAATTTGTAAGGAACAGAGATTTATTTCTCACAGTTCTGGAGGCTGGGAAGTCCAAGGTTGAGGGGTTACATCTGGTGAGAGCCTTTTTGCTGCATCATCCCATGGTGGATGGTGAAAGGGCAAGAGAATGTGCATGGGAAAGAGAGAGAGAGAAAGGGGGCCAAACACCTTTTTTTCAGGAACCCACTCTGGCAATAACAGCATTAATCCATTTACAAAGGCAGAGCCCTCATGACCTAATCACCTCTCAAAGGTCCCAACTCTCAACGTTGTTGCACTGGGGACTAAATTTCCAACACATGAACTTTGGGGGACAGATTCAAACCATAGCAAGCCCGTTATGGACTATTATGCAAACAATGAATCAATTTTTATTATGTTAGGCATTGAAATATTGGGTTTATTTGTTATAGCAGTTAGCCTTCTTTGACTAATACAAACCATCATCGCTACCATTCATGGGGTACTTTCTCGGAACTGGGTGCTGTGCTAAGTGCATTGTCTTATTTCATCCACACAACAACTGATAGGGACGGGCTAGCCCACTTTTACAGAAGTGGAAACTGAGACTGAAGCTGGTGAAGGACAGAGAGGTGTGATCCCCAAACCTGCACTCAAGTGCAAAACTTTCCCCTGCAGGCTTCTAGTAATAAAGGCATGGGTGAAAACTGCGTGAGGCGAGACCAGATGAGGAGTTGTTACGGAAATACCAGCAGGAAGTTCCTGCCATGAAATGGGAAAAGTAATAGTTTATTGTAAGTATTAATTGAGAGAATGTGTCTAAGGTGTCCAGGGCAGGGCCTAGCATCTGGCACAAGTATAATGAATGCTAGTTTGATTTTTTTCAAGAGACTAAGCAGGAAGGCCTAGGTGAAAACAGGGGAGAATTATTCCAGCAGCAGCACTGGCAACACTTGGGCAAAGAAATAGGGAGACAGGGAAGCTGAAGGCTTGGTGACTGTCTTATGTCGCTATTTCCAAGAACACAGCAGGAAGGGTATAGGAAACATCTTGTATAATGTGCTGTGGGATTTGGAGGAGGGAGAGAATAGGGCTGAAAAAAATAAGAAAGAAAGTAAACCCCCAAACCCTCTGTGATACGCAGATGTTCAGCAGAGGCACTGTACTCCAGGGCCTCTCCTGACAAGGGCTGTCAACAAACTGTCAGGCCCTTGTTCAGATATATCCACTTCTGTCCTAAGGCAGAGACTCTTTATCTACACAACCATATGCAAGTTCTTTAACTTCTCTGTGCCTCATTTTTATCCTCTGGAGGTGGGCATTAGAAATAGGACTTATCTCATTCACAACAACCCTATGAGAAAAGTCATGAATATATGCAGAGTGCTCAGCCTGGTGTGGGACTGCAGTGAGTAGCCAATAAATGGTAGAAATCATGATGAAAATTTCCTCATCTTTAACGCTATTTTTCTATCTACCTTTATCTATACCTACAGACACCCAGATAATAGCTATGGGTATAGAACAGAATCCTTGCTTGTCTTGTTCACTGCTACATCTCCAGCCAGCTCTTAGACCAGCAACTGGATCCCAGTAGCTATTTAAATATTTATTGAATGAAGGAATAAGGAAACCCATCTTTCCATCTTTCCCTCTCTCCCTCCCTCCCTCTCTCCCTTCCATCCATCCATTCATCCATCCATTTATCCATCCATCTTAGAAAGGCAGCAGAGCATAGTGGCTTAGCCTGCAAGTTTTTTCTTCCAATTGTGGTAAAATATACATAACATAAAATCGAAAATTTAGCATTTTAACTATTTTCAAGAGCACAGCTCATTAAGTATATTCACATTGTTGTGAAACCATCACTACCATTCATCTCCAGAACTTTTTCACCTTCACAAACAGAAACTCTTTGCCCATTAAACACTAACGCCCTATTCTCCCTCCCCCCAGCCCCTGAAACCCCCCGTTCTACTTTCTGTCTCCGAGTTTGACTGCTCTAGGAATCTCATATGAGTGGAATCGTATAGTGATTGTCCTTTTGTGACGGCCCACAAGTTTTGCGACCACATAAGCTGCAGGATCCTGGGAAACGCAGCCTTCCTGAAACTCCACTTCCTCATCTGTGACGTGGCTGTAATATAGTGCCTACCGCACAGGGTGGTTGTGAGGTTTAAATGAGATAGATAACACATATAAGGTGCAATTTTCTGTTTTAGTCTATTTCTGTTGCTTATAAAAAAATACTTGGAACTGGGTAATTTACAAGAAAATAAAATCTGTTGCTTACAGTTTCAGAGGCTGGAAAGTCCAAAGTCCAGGGAACACATCTGGTGAAGGTCTTAGTGGTGGTGACAGTGATGGCAGAGTATCACACTGAGAAAATGGTGGAGTAGAGAGAGCCTAACTTCCTCATTCAGTCTCTTTTTAAAGCCCCTGACCACCATCATTAATCCATTCACTACAGCACAGTCTTAACAATCTAATCACCTCTTTAAGGCCCAACCTTTCAATTAACATAATGGGATTTCCCACCCTCTTAACACTGTCACAGTGGGAGTCAAGTTTTGAGGAGACACTCAATCAAAGGTGGGTACTTAGCCCAGTGCCTATAGAAAGTGCTCAATAAATATGAGTATTAGTTACATATAATTAAATATTCTAAATTAATGGACTGGTATTGTGCTTCTCATATTTATGGCACTGTCCTGAGCACTTTACATATATTAACTCATTTAACCTCACTACGACCTTATGAAATTGGTAGTATCACCATCATTCACATTTCACAGATGAGAACACAGATGAGCATGTGAAGGTGCAGAGACGTAAGTAATGTGCTCTAGGTTTTGTGGCTGGTTCACAGAAGAGCAGGGATTGAAATCCAGGTAGCCCGTTTTCACCATCTCTTTCTAGTCTCCTCTGCCTCTGTCAGTTGGGGGATCCTCACGTACACACTGACAGACCTGGATCAGGCTAGCCGGTGAGTGCAGGTGTCAAAGCCACAGGTAAAAGGGGATATCTGTGGGAAGCCATGGAAAAATAATTGAAGATGAGTTTGCTGTTCCAACCTGATGGAACCCTCCTCCTGCCCACTTACATGTGCTGTTCTCCTTGGGGCCTGGGGAGCTGGGGTGCTTGGCCCTCTGTCTGCCACTGTGCATGGCCTGGAGTGTGCTCCCCAAACGACACAGCCAAGCCAGAACCTTTTCCCCTTGATGGCAGAAAGTTCAGCAATCCTTGACACCCCCCACCCCCACCCCCATGCCCTGCCCTGTACTGAGATTTTTTTTTTTTAAGTTTCCTCTTCTGGTGTCCTCAGGGCAACCTCCCGCCCGGGCTTTATTGCTTTCCTGGTAACTGCAGTCCTATAAAAGGAGCAGAACCTGGAGTGGGATCAGCGGTCCCTGTCCCAGAGACAAGCGTGTCCAGGACAGCAGGCTTCTCAGCATCTCAGGCAGGAGCCCAGGGCTTGTGCCATCTCACCCTGATGTCTGGAGAGGTGAGCCTGCTGATGGCATCTTCCTCTCCAGCCTGGCAGTGCCAGGGGCTGCTGAGAATGAATTCAAGGCTCTCCTCCCACCCGTGTCCCTCTCCCTTTTTCCCTAAGCAGGCAAATGTGCGGGACCTTGAGTCTGGCAGTGGCAAGATGAAGGAGCCAAGCGCATGTGGCAAGAGGTGTGCATCCAGGTTCGAGCAGTTTGTGCAGCCCTGCCTGGCTGAACTGCTGGGCTCTGCCCTGTTCCTCTTCATTGGGTGTCTGTCAGTCATTGAGAACGGGACGGACACTGGACTGCTGCAGCCAGCCCTGGTCCACGGGCTGGGTACGGGGATCATGACCACCATCTTCGGGAACATCAGGTGAGACCAGTTCCAATCATTTAGACTGGTGCTAGCTTGGGGAGCTGGAGGTGGGAGCAAAGCTGCTGTTGGGGACCCCTGGGCACACACAGGATTCTAAGGAGTGCTGTGGACAAGAGGGTGGGGTGGGAAGTCACACTGCCCGGGGTCAACCCCTGGCTCTTTGCCTATGAACTCTGTAGCTTTGGGCAAATCACTTTCGAAACACAAAGTTCCCTACATATAAAATGGGAATAATAGTGTATTTTGAAAATTCTTCTTTTTCAAGCCAACATGTGCATATTGTTAACCATGTACTGGGCACTATTCTAAGGACTTTAGTATGTTCATCATTTAACTCTCTCAACAACCTTGTGGGATAGGTCCTGTTATTGTCCCCATTTAACAGCTGGGAAAGAGAAAGGCCTTGTTACCTGTCCTAGGTTACAGGGCTAGTGAGTGGCAGAGCCTGGAGTTGAGTCCAAGCTGTTTGGCTCCGGTGCCCAAACCTGAATGCCTCATGTGGGAGGCAGGAGATGAAATGATGTGAAGAGCTTGGCCCAGATCAAGCATCAATGAGTGTTGGTGGCTGTGTTAGTGTCTCCACTAGAAGGGGGTTTTAGGGAAAGCAGAGGAGTGCAGAAGAACTAACCGAGGGCTTTTCCCACTTGGGTGTACAGGTACCTGCTGTGGTCCTAGCCTGTCCAGTGGTGACCAGAGAGGAGGGGCAGGGAGAGGGAGGGGTCCTCTTGCTCAGCTCTTAACTGTACAAGAGCTTGATGAGGTGTCTGTGGGAAGGTTGGTGGGTTCCTAGGACAATCAACCATAATGACCATCTTGAGTGAGGCACCTGGCAGGGTGATCTGGGACATGGTTAGTCCATAGTTAATCTCACTCAGAAAATAGATCTGAATGAGGAAATTGAACTACTGTTTCTGAGAAAACCACAATGGAAAGAGAACGATAACTCCTTAAATGTCCAGGGGAGGCTGTGGGTGGAATGAAAAGCACATGATCTGTTTAGGAGGTCTGGGGTTGAATGCAGCCTTTGTCACTTCTTAGCTGGGTGACCAGGGCAAGCGGTTGAGCCTTTCTGTGAGCAGTGGTATAAATGTGGATAATGTTAATAGCTGATATTTACTGAACACTATGTGCTATACATGTGTTAATACATATTTGCAACAGCCTTATCAGGTAGGGATCATTGAGGGACAGAGAGGTATAAATTGCCCATGGTCAGGCAGCTGGGGTTTGAACCCAGGCTAGCTGGCTGGAGAGACCATCGCTCAGGCACTGCAGTATACTGCAAGACCAGTCTTTTATTCAGTCATTGGCTTTTTCAACAAGTGTTTATTCAGTACCTACTGCATGCCAGGCACTGACTTTGAGGTTGCTGAATGGATCCAAGATAAGGTACATAAAGCACCCAGCCTGGCACCTGGCACACAGCAAGTATTAAAAAACTACATGCTGAGTGAACAATGAATGAACGAACTAAGAAAGTGTCTTGATTGTTCTATTGTTAATGAGTGTGAAGTTAATCTGGGGAATATGCATGGTCCTCAAATAGCTCAGCCCTCTTCCTGGGCAAGCCCAGCTCTGAATAACAGTTTCTCTCCCAGTTTGGGCCAGGTGAGAGGAGAGGCTGATGGCCTGAGAGGATGCTAAGTGCAGTCTTCTGTGGGAAGCCACCCTGCTCCTGATTCATCTGCTCGCTTTGGCAGAGCCGAGGCTGAGCTACTTGAGGACAAGCAGGCCTGGCTGCCCCTCTCCCAGACTTATGAGTCTGAGCATTGGCTGGTGCTTTCAAATCATGCACCATCTCCCCTGAGGGTCTAGGCATAGAGTGAGGCCAGACAAGCTGGAGACAGCTAGTCTGGAGGTGTCAGGGTGCTGGACAAAACCAAGGTACTCCATCCAGTCTCAGTTCAATGCTCTGTGTCCTCTAGGGGGAGAGGGGGCTGGTGGGAAGGTCCACTGGTGAGCTCTTAACATTTGGGGGTCACTTTCCCTCTTATGGAGGGCATTCATCTCCTGGGGACCAGAGGGACTTAATGGGTTGAACTCTAAGGATACTTCCTTCATCAGAGTGGGACTGCACATGATCCTGACGGGGACAGCAGGGGCTTGGGGGGCTTCCCGGCTCTGGGTCTGGCTGGTTGAACATCTTGGTGAAAAGGAAGGCTCTTTATCCATGAGCGATGGAGGGCCTGGCCAACTTAAACCTGCCCTTTGACCCTAGGTTCTGACTTGTCTAACTCCCATCTACATCCCAAACTCCCGATCCCGATCCCGCTTCCTAACCCAGTCATGAACCTCCAACCCCACCCCTGATTCTCAATGCCATTTCCAACCAGAACTCCTAATCTCAATTTGACACTCATGACACTTTCAGACACAAACTAGGGTGTTTATTGGCTGAGCAGTTCAACCAATGAGGAGCTCTTGTTCAGGGCCTCCCTCCTTATAAGGGGAGGCCAGGATACCTCTCTTGGCTGCTGATCTGGAGCCTTGGACCTCAGTCTGACCTGTGGCCACATCTCTGAAGGGCTGGCGGGAGCTCTGAAGGAGTGTGGAAGGAGCTGAGGGACGGTGTCCCTGCACTTTCTTCCTCTTGGGCTGTCCTGGGGTCTGGGTTTAGGGCTTAGGGGCTACACCTGCCTTCCCTCGTTCTCTCCCTGTGCCCTCACCCCACCCACCTGGCACATCAGGGAAAATGGGAGAGATTTGGTGCCTATTTCTATTTGGGCTGGACTGAACCTGGCCCTGCAAGGCCAGTCTGGGGGGCTGGTTGGGACACATTGTCTCGTGACAGCCTTACTGTCAGCCCTGAACCTTGGCCTCATGTCTTCTGTCTGCTCTCATGGGTTACAGTGGTGGATACTTTAACCCCGCGGTGTCCCTGTTGGCCACAGTCACCGGAGGCCTCCACCTGGTGATGCTCATTCCCTACTGGATCTCCCAGCTGTGTGGGGCGCTGATTGGGGCTGCCTTGGCCAAGGTGGGTAATCCCTAAGGAGGCTGGGCTGCTGGCTTTGGCTGTGATGGGGCTGCTGGAGGGTGTGTGTTGTGGGGGGGGGGTGGAATTGGTTGAGCCCTCTTCTACTGGGGAGGAGGACATGCTAAGTTCCTTTGGTTCCCTACAAACCTACCCTGTAGTGTCAATGTCTGGACACAGCCCTTCTCTGGTCAGGCCTGGAAGCAAATTCCAGAGTTGATTTTTCTCTTCCTAAGCCTATTTCTGGCTTTGGGGTTGATTAGGATAGTTCTGATTTTTTTCATTCATTCACTTGTTTACTTGTTCTGCAAACATCTCCCTAAGCACTGACTGAGATACGGATGAGCATGGTCAATTTCCTTGAGAAATTCTTGAATTAACTCCTCTGTGTGTTCTCCAGTTTGCCTGCCTCTAAACTGAGTTACCTTTGATTGGAGTTGACACTCAATTTGGAATCCTCCTGTACCAACAGGAAGGCTAGCTCCACCTCTCAGCCACAGAATTTTTATAGCTCCACACACAATTCCATGGATGGACTTCCTTCCTTCCTTCCTCCCTCTCTCCTACCCTTACTTCTTTCTTGCCTTCTTCTCTACCTCCTCTCTCTCTTTCTTTCCTATTGCCCCGATGTCTCGGTTCAACTAGAGGCCCTTCAGTATGTGTGTCTTGCTTAGCACATGCACGTGCGTGTGTATGTGTGTTGGGTGGATGGGAGAGCCTTATCAGCCTGGCTGGGATTAGGTGTAAAGCTCTTGGCACTGGCCCACTGCAGACTTTGGTGTCAAATCTCATTCTGCTGTCTTCCCTGCTCTAGTCTCTCTGTGCCCCCACTGGAGACCTCCAGCTGTCTCCCTGTCTGTAGAATGCAGCCTGGACCTTCCTGCTCTGATTCTCTATGAAAGGCAGCACCCAGACTCTCCCTCCAGCCCTGCCACTTGACACTTGTCAGACGTGATGACAAGTGCAGAGTAGCAGCTGCCATTCACTGAGCACACCCTCCTCACTATGCACTTTACAGAGATTCTCTTATTTAATCTCCCAACATCTGCACGAGAAAGCATGGTCAGTCCTTGGAGAGTGTTATATATGTGCCAGGCATGCCAAGGTCCTTCCACGTGAGCTAGGAGCTACAAATATCATCCCTGTTTTACAGATGAGTAAACAGATGCGCAGAGAAGTAGGCAACATGCCCAAGTTCAGACAAGCTGGTGTGTGGCAGAGCCCAGATTTGGGGCCAGAGCCCAGAGGCATGTGCGCTGTCTTCCCTCCCGCTCCAGGCACCGTGGTAACCTGAGGCCGATTCCCTTTGTAGCTCACTGAGCTGAAGATCCAGGGCTCTGCTCACACAGGCCCCTTCCAAAGTCCTAAAGCGGCCTAGCAATGTGTTCACCTGGTTACATGTGTTTGAAAAGCTTGTAAAAGATATTTTTATATTCTTTTCCTCAAAGAGGGTCCTCTAAGTTACATAAGCTTCAGGCCTGTAACATCTGGAAACACTGCAGGGTTATCCCCATTTTTCACATGAGCAAAATGAGGCTCAGAGAGGTCCAGTAGTTCACAATGAGTCACACAGTAAAAGTTGGTGGTGCTGGGGTGTGGACCAGATATGACCAGCTGCAAATTGGACATGAGGCTTCACTGGTTCCTCAGGGGGGCAGGATGTTAGGCCCCCTCCCCTCAGCTCCCAGCTGTGTCTCTCTCTGCTCCAACCCCTCCCCACTTCCGGCCCCCTCTACCTCGAGGCTGAGCAGCTTCTCTCCACAGGTGGTGAGTCCTGAGGAGAAGTTCTGGAATGCATCTGGGGCGGCCTTTGTGACAGTCCAGGATGAGGGGCAGGTGGTGGGGGCGTTGGTGGCGGAGATCATCCTGACGGCACTGCTGGCGCTGGTTGTGTGCATGACTGCCATCAATGAGATGCACAGCCCTCTGGTCCCGTACACTGTCGGCCTTTCTGTCACCGTGTGTACTCTGGCAGGGTGAGTATACCTCGGCAGTGGGACTACTGTGCCCAGATCTGGGCTGAGTTTCGGCTCTGGAAGAAGTTAGGCCTGAGGGTCATAGACTGCTGTCAATAGGCACCAAATGGTGGACGCGGGGTACTGGGCAGATGACAGGGAGTGGTGGGAACTTTGGTATCTAAGGAGGCCACACACTTTCACTCTAGTCTGTGTGAGAATGTGTGTCTGGGGTGACCCTTCTTCTAAGTTCATTCAAGAAAAGCCAGAAATCTGGATTTTTATGTGCAGTTTTCCAGTGTTTGCAGTGTAAACCGGGTGTTCCTGCAGACTGCGTCCATTCAGCTGTGAGCAGCCAGGTGTTAGTCTCAGGCTTGCAAAGAGCATCCGAGCCCATTGTCTCATTTATTTTGAACCTCTCAGCAGGCTTGGGAAGGGATTAAGGAGAAAAGGTTGGGTCAGAGATTATTTCTTCCATTTTATAGATGAGGAAACTGAGGCTCACCTCAGAGAGGACAACAGTGACTTGTTTAAGGTCATTGGGCAGCTGCAAATTAAGTGACAGATCTAGGACAGGAGCCTGCATTGGCTGAAGGGGATGAAGGAGCTCCTTCCTAATTCCCAACTCTTTCCTTTATTTCCTTTATTTCTAACGCAGAAAGCCTAGCCTTTCTCCCGGGTCAGCCCTCTGTCATCTTTGGGACAGGGCTCTGGGATGGGCTGGGGAATGTGTGCAAAGCTGTGGCTATGCTTTGCTGCCCCTAGTGGCACCTGGTTCATGTACAAGCCTACTAAATCATCCTTTTGACTTTAGCTACTGGACACAGGGTCAGATGAGGTCTGCAGGACACCAGCTTGAGTGAATGGGATAAGGATACAGACACCAGAATACAGAATAAAGACACAGACACCTAGGAACAGCCCCCCCGCCCCCCATAGAAGATGCTGAGTCCCAAGCTTGCAGCACAGCAGGGCCTCAACTGGGTCAGCTGGATTGTAGCTAACACTTGCTGTGCGTTAATTATATGCAAGGCATGTGCTCTATCTGCATTTTCCTGTTCACTTCTGACAAACTAAGGGATGAGTACTTTTCCCTCAGTTGACACAGATTGGTTAACAAAGGTCACACAGCTAGAACTAGCTGGGCTGGGTTTTGAATCTAGGCCAACTTGACTCCAAAGTCGTTGGCAACTGCCAGACTTTGCTTTATAGACTTTGGAAAGACTTAGACCCATTTTGGAACTTGCTGCCATTATCGAACAAGCATTCTTTGCTGGCCATTCTTCTAGAAGGGTGTGTGGGGAGTGGCAGACTGCATGCTCGGGGGGTGGAGTGGATACACCTTTTACTTTCTAGTGATAATAGCCTCCTTACCTTGCCTGGGGTCCACCAGGAGCCCATGATATGGGAGTTTAGAGAGGGTTTCTGGGTGGTGTGGGACCTAGGCCTTGTTGGGGTTATGAATTTGAGGTGAGTTGGGGCCTGCTTGGCTGGGATCCTGGTGACCAGTGTGGCTGGATGTTTGCAGGGGTGCTGTGTCTGGAGCCTGCATGAACCCTGCCCGTGCCTTTGGACCTGCTGTGATGGCCAACCACTGGGACTTCCACTGGATCTACTGGCTGGGCCCAATCCTGGCTAGCCTGATTGTAGGACTTCTCATTAGGTACGAGCATGACACAGGGTCACTGGCCCATCTGTGTGGCACCTGGTGACAGCTCCCAGAGGGCCCAGGGTTAGAGGGCTAGGCTGTCACTTGGGTTTGGAGGAGGAAATAAGGAGTCTTCTTCAGAGGCAAAGAATATGGTTCTATCCAGGACCTTTGGTTGCAAGTGACAGAAATCCATCTCAAAACAGCTTATGTCACAAAGGGGAATTCATTGGCTCACACAACTGAAAAGTTCACAGACAGCACTGGCTTCAGGTGGTGCTCAAACAATGTTTTTAGAACTTGGTCTTTCTCATAGGCTCCACTTTCCTCTGTGTGGGCTTCATACTTAGTTGGGATCTCCAATAGAGGCAGAGATGCCGACCAGCTACTCTAGGCTTATATCCTAGCAGCTTAATGACCACAGGAAATAGAAAAGCTCTAGAAAAAGTCCTGGGTCTGATATTCACTGGTTTGAATTGGACCAGCTTGGGTTCTATGTCCACCTCTGAGTCAATCATTGTAGCCATGGGGGTCAGGCACTCTTATTGGCTTTTCTAGAGCATGAGCCAAACCCTGAAGTGGGGGTGAGGTCAGCACTATCTGAACAACCAAGAGTAGGACCAAGAGTAGGGAAGGAATACCTCCCCACAGGGGTGTTGTACAACTCCAGGAGGCCTCATCCACATAGGACAACCATGTAAATGGTGCCCCCAAGAGCAAGCATGTTTGGAGACGCCACTCACATAAAACACAATGTGAACAGTGATCCCAGAATTGTGCAAAGGATAACAAGGTTGATGTTGCCAGAAGGATAAGTGGATTCCAGGTAGAAAAACTGCAGCGGCCCTTCTGGCCTGCTTGTCTTCTCCTCGGGTTCTCTTCTTACATCCTGTCTGGGAGAGGACAGGCACTGGGCTGCACCAATCTGGACTGCTGGATTGCCCACTGCAGCTGTGGAGGCCTTCAGGACTCAGCCTGCGGGTCAGTGAGAAGCATCACTAATCACTGTGTCTGCCACTTGCAGAATGGCAGCAATGGGCATCTTCAGGAAAAGTGCTGGAAACAAAACAGGACACACACTCTCTCTCTCTCCCTGGGGGACCTGGCTATCAGGGCTGCACAGGCTCAGGGTCATCTCTCTGGAGAATTCTGGGCCTGGAAAGAGAGGATGAAGGGCATGGTCTCCCCTTCAGGGGCTCAGAGACCTCACTGAGCCATCTTTCTTGTAGGCTCTTCACTGGAGATGGGAAAACCTGCCTAATCCTGAAGAGACAAAGAAGCGGAACTGGTGGGATTCCTCCTGCCTCAGATGCCCTACGCTGACACATCCAGGACTGGCGATAGAACAGCTTCTGCATTTCCTGCCAGGGCAGAGGCCCAGAGGAGCAACTGATTGGCTTCCAATGACTTGGGCCTGGCTTCTCAGATAGATTGTTGCTAAGTCCTGAGAATGCTCTGGGCTCTTCAAACTCCTTTGTGCTCAACAGAGACCTCAGCCAAGAGAGAGGTGGAAACAGCACAAAAGAAGAGGTTTTTTGTTTCATGTTTTTGTTTTGAGAGGGAAGGCGCCGGGAACAGAAGAACTGTTGGAAAAGATGGCTGTTGACACTCATCGCTCATTCCCCACCTGTTTCTTTCTCTTTCTCTTCTTCCTGGATTCATCTGTTACAGAAGGGTCCTGACAACTTTCTTGTTTCCCAAGCTGCCAGTCTGACTTTGCAATAAATAGTCCAGTGTTTCCTTCCATGTGCCCACTGACTTTCCTTTCATTTCAGAAATGGCCACTACTGGGGAGAAAGCAAAATCCGGGGTGGGGCCTCGGCCGTCCAGAGTCTGGCCAGACCCAGAGCCCAGCCTAGAGTCCAATGCCCAGGTAGCAACTTAGCATGCAGTCCAAGCCAGAGCCTATCTCCACTCATCCAGACCACCTTGGAGTCAATTCCAGATCATAGACCTCAGGACCCTACTGAAAAGTCCAACACAGCCCAGGTCTGGTTGAGTGCCCAGCACTATCCAGGAAGTGGATCAGCCCATTCACTGCACACCAGCTGGGCATGAGGGTGGGGGTGGGGGTGCAGCAGACCTGCTAGAATTTCCCAAGGAAAGAAATCCTGAGCAAGTGGTATAGTATAGGCCTGAAGAGACAGTGGCATTTGAGTGGAAGATCCAAGTATTATGAATAAGAAAGGATAAAAAGACACATTCTGAACTTCACATCTTCCAAACAGTGTGCATCTTTGTAAGAATCTGTGGGTCGGGCTGGCTTGGTTTGCTCAGTTGGTTAGAGAGTGGTGCTGATAATACCAAGTTCAAGGGTTTGGATCTCTGTACCAGCCAGCTGCCACAAAGAAAAAAAATCTGTGGGTCACTCATGGAAGGTGATCATTACAACACCATAAGAAAGTGCCAGGGAAAAATTCTTCTGAACAACAAAGAAACCCACCCAATTCTACAAGATGAGCAAAGCGTTCGCCTGAGGAAATATGAAAAAATTCTCACTGGAGAAAATTACCAATATAGTAAGAGACTTACTCATGAGAAAATGGATACAATATACAGATCCTCCTCAGTTTACAATGAGGTTGTGTCCCAATAAACACATTGTAAGTTGAAAATGCATTTAATACACCTGACCTACCAAACATCACATTTTAATCGAGCCCACCTTAAATGTACTCAGAACATGTGGTTAGCCTAGAGTTGGGCAAAATGATCTAACGCAGAGCCCACTTTATAATAAAGTGTGGAATATCTCATGTAATTTATTGAATGTTGTACTAAAAGTGAAAAACAGAATAGTTGTATGGGTTCTCAAAGTGAGGTTTCTACTCAAAGTGTGGTTTCTTGACTGTGTATCACTTTCAGTCCATTGCAAAGCTGAAAAGTAAAATCGACCCATTGTTGAACCACCCTAAGTCAAAACATTGTAAGTCCAGGACTGTTTGTATATACAAATATCCAAAACATTCTCAGAGAAAAAGAGAATAACAAACAAGAATAACTACAACTGCAAAGAACAGAAAAACAGAGGAAATAATATGATAAAATCACAAGCAAATTAGAACACTCACAAAGAGTAAAAAAATGTTAAAAGTTACTATTTCATTTGGTGAAATAATGAAATAAACCTTTGACAAATCTAGTCAATAACAAAACAATTATATGTATGTACATATACACATATGCATACATATACACACGTGTATATAGCTAACATTTATTATTATGTGTTAGGCACTCTGCTGAGTGCTTTATGTGCATTATGTCATTTACTCCACACACACTCCTATGAAGTAGTGTAGTGGGTTGAATAGTGTTCTCCCCAAATTCATGTGCACCAGGAACTGCAGTATGTGACCGTATTTGGAAATTGGGTCTTTGTCTATGTAATTAAAGTAAGGGTCAAGATGAGATCATATGGGATTGGGGTTGCCTAAATCCAATGACAGTGTCCTTATAAGTGACACAAAAGGAAATGCAGAGACACAGAGAAGACCACGTGAAGATGGAGGCAGAGATTGAAGTTATCCTGTCACAAGCCAGCACCAGGAACCACCAGGAGCTGGAAGAGGCACGGAAGGATTCTCCTCTAGAGCCCTTACGGGGAGCATGGCCCTGCTGGTACCTTGATTTTGGACATCTGGCCTCCAGAACCATGAAAGAATACATGTCTGTTGTGTTCAGGCATCTAGTTTGTGGCAGTTCGTTACAGTTGCCCCAGGAAACTAACACAGGCAGGTACTTGTATTCTTCTCATTTTCCAGAGGAGCTAATGGAGCTGCCAAGAGATGACGTTACCCAAAGTTACACAGCATGTTGGTGGAGCCAACACTGCAGATCAGGTACATTTGACTGCAGCCTCCACGATCTTTGTCATCATGCTTTATTGTTTCTGAATAAGGGGCAGTTTTATGTCTTTTGCCTTGTCTCCTACCTGCCTGCTAGCTCCCATTAAAAAGGAGACAGAAAGACATGCATTAGAACTCTTCTCACCCCTAACTTGCAATTGGATTTCAAGTCCTGGTCTTTGTTTCAATTTCTAGGCTATAAGCTCTCAAGAGCAAGACTGATACTCATTTGTCTTTGTAACTCCACATTGTGAGGTTTAGTGTCTGCTGTGTAGGAGGGACTCTATTTATGGACTGAGAGAATGACATAGGCTGATCCTGATGACTCTCAAGAATTTGAGAATCCAAATTGAGAATGGACTCAGATCACCTAAGTTCACCTCCACCCCACCTCCCTTTTTCTTAGTAGCAAGATTGTTACTGGACTTTAGGATGTTAGGGATAGAAACTCTATTATAGTAGTAAAATACGGTGGCTATGAGTTTGGATTCTGAGAAAGATCCAAGTTTAAATCTCAGAACTTTCACCTTCTTGAGTATACTCTTGAAAAAGCTATTTAGTTTAGACTTAGCTTTTTCATCTTTAAAATGGAAATACTGCCTCAGAATGCTTGTGAGAACCAACAAAATGTTTATAAAGCATTAGCACAATGCCTAGCACATGGCAAGTGTACAACGTGTCTAGCGCTTATATTTCCTGTTATTTAGTCAAAAGTTTTGCAATTTTTGGGTATTAGAATCATGTCAAGTGGGTGGAGTTTTGGCAAGAATTTTCTAAATAAACTTGCCACATATGTATTTTTCTCAGTCAACTACTCTCATATAACGATCTTTGGGACCCTCAAGGGAAAAATGTTGAAAACCACTCATCCTGTCCAATCCCCAAACCCAGAGAAGCTAAATAATTTGACTATAATTATGCAGTTATCTAGTGGCAGAACTCAATTAAAATCCAGGATTTTGGACACAAAATCTAGCATTCTTTCTACTGCAGCAGGCATGGTCTTACTGCAGATCCTTAGGGTGCAAGTACCGATTCAGTTTCTTTAGCCAGGATTGTCTTGGGTCCTCACATGCTGTGTTGTTGGGAAGCCTAGTCTTATGTTCTTGCATCTCTCCCTTGCCACATTGTTCAAGACTCAGGGAGTTTAAGCAATCCAAAACAGAAGGGTGCCAATCTACTCTCTTGTAGGGAAGAGTTGTGTTAACTTTACCCTGTGCTGCATGCAGCTACTGCTGTTCTCCTCCGTGCCACATGGTGCCGCTGTTGGAAGCGGTTCTCAGAGATAGTGCGCGCTATAGCTTGGTCATACTTTCCCAGGCCCAGGTGGATTCTTGAAAGAGGACTCCTTTTCTGATAATTCCACAACCCTTAAGGCCTTTTGGGTCCCTCCTCTCCCCTCTGAACTCCCAGTAGCCTACCCCCCCCACCCCCCAGAAGGAAAAAACCATTCTTATCACCAGCGATAGGGAGTTGAGGTGAAAGAATTCTGTACAGACCTTGTTAAAATAACTCTTACCTTTCTTTGGTCTTCCCATACATTTTAGTTACTTTTCCACAATTGCCTCTTTGTTCAACCCTGTATATAAGTACTTACGTTTTGCCACTTCTTTGGGTTATTTCTTGTGAAGACTCCCATGTACATATCAAAATCCATATGTTTTCTCCTGTTAATCTGTTTTATGTTAATCCTCAGGCCCAGCTGGAGACCCTAAGACAGTAGAGGTAAAGTTTTGCCTCCCCTATAACTGTATCTTTGGGGAAACTGTCAAGTCCTCTTCCACCATTAGGCTGTGGGTGAGCACCTCATCAGAAACATATACAGTATATGTATCCAAGGCTAACTTCTCCCTAGCATGGGAGCCAACCATTATTTGGGATAATGGTAGTGACAAGTGTCAGAGGACTGCTGCCCAGGAACAGCTGTGGACTCAGAAAAGACCCCTGCTAGCTGTGGGGGCACAGTAGTGAGCTCGAATGAGACTGAAATTCCCTTTATTAGCTACTGGGATCATCTTTTATGAACTTCTTGGATAAGTTTTCTTTTCCCTTAAAAGGAAGTCCTCCTTCAAATTATGGAAGAAACCAATGGAAGCTATTTATTTTAAACATTTATTTCACACGCACGTTTTCAAGAAGACATCTAAGTGAATATTAATACAAAACAATGAACCAACATACACATAATACTTGGTCTTGGAACACATTCAGACAGAGGCAAAGGCTTACGGTTACACAAGTTACTGAGACACCCCCTTCATCTGAGGCTTCCCCAGCTCCCTCATGGTTGAGTCTTGTCTGTCACTGGCCACCAGAACTCACGGCACAGGCTTTCTTTACTTCAGCAACCTGCCATGGGCTAGTGCAGTCCCTGGGGTGCCCGTCTGTTGAACATGCGTGACTTGTCCTTTCTCCTCACCAAGCAAGCTCCTGGGCTGACTCTGCTGTCACAGCCTCCCATTCCTAAAGTACGAA